ACAAAAATTGTTTTATATGAAAGAGGAAGAGCAATACTTTTATGCTAGAATATTTGTGTCACTAAAAGTAACAGGGAAGGGAAAGAAAGGAGAAAGAGGAGAAGGAAAAGGGAGGAGGGAAGGAAAGAAGGAAGAGAGGACTGGGGGAAAAGATGAGGTGTGTAGGCCAGAGCTGCCTTTCAGAAGCGAAGCGATGCCACGAACTAGAACCACAAAGAGGGAGGGAGGAAAATGAGTATGTGTGTATACACACGTATGCATACACATAAGAAGAAAAGAGAAAATGACAGAGTGAATATGGCAAAATGTTGACAATTCTGGGTGAAGGTTTTTTAATATACAATACTGTACAGGAGTTTTTCATACTATTCCTGCAACTTCTCTACAGTTTCAAAATAATAATGTAACATAACATAAAATCTCCCAGGGCTTTCCAGCACGATCCTTCCCCTCACTTAAAGGGCCCTACACAATCCGACCCTGGCTGACGCATGGTGCACCTATCCACTCCAGCCCGCGCTTGCTTTCCACTAGAGGCACCTGCCACTTGCTTGGAATGCAACCTAGGCTGGAAGGCTTCCTCCTCCACTCCACTGTACCCACTGTCTCATGATCATCAAGTTGTCATTCAGACTCCACTTAAATGTTGCCTCGAGAGGCTGCCAATCTAAAGTAGCCACCCAGTCGCTCTCTTTCACATGCATGACATTCACTGCTGTTTTTGTCTGTTTATGATGCTCCTTGGGACTGGGTGACCATCTCCCATATTCTGCATGTGGACCCTGACAATTTTGTTCATCCCCATATTCCCTAGAAAATTACCTGCTGTAATAGTCCATAAATGTTTGTTAAATCAACATGTGCGCTCAAAAACAAGCAAATTCTGTTCACGTTAAAATGTAAGAGGCAGTAAGAGCACAAACTCCGAAAATACTCCTTTGTTTGAATTCTAGCTCTGCAACCCTGGTCTCCTTATTTCCTTTACCAGTTTGGTACCATGGGCAGGTTTCCCAATTTCCTCACCTGCAAAATGGAGACAGACCTGCCTCGCAGGGTCACAAGTCTTTAACGACTTCATACCCACAAAGTACCTAGCCAACCATGGTAACTATTAATATTATTCAATAGTTTTAAAATTTTCATTTGGTCTTCTTTATTTGCTTACTATTTATAAGATATGATTCTGTTCGCTTATTTTACCTTTCTTACTGCTTTTGTAAATGTGTTTTCGTTCACTGTATTTTCTATATAGTTATGGTTTTTTTCTTTTTTAGCAAGAGCAAGGGGCGCCTGGGTGGCTTAGTCGGTTAAGCGTCCGACTTTCGCTTAGGTCCTGATCTCGCGGTTCGTGGGTTCGAGCCCCACGTCGGGCTCTGTGCTGACTGCCAGCTCAGAGCCTGGAGCCTGTTTCAGTCTGTGACTCCCTCTCTCTCTGACCCTCCCCTGCTCACGCTGTCTCTCTCTCTCTCCTAGAAAAAAAAAAAAATTAAAAAAA